TAATATTATTATTATTACTATTATTAAATGTTCAGGCTTATATATATATATATGTATTGGCAGAAAACCACAGGGAGAAGCTTGTTTTTTATTTGTTGACAACAGATTTATAAATGACTGTCATTGCAAGTTTGAAAAGATAGGTGGCACATGTTCACAAACGCACATTAAAGCAACTCAAAATCAGAACAGATGCAGATGAATCCAGCCAATTGTGAAACAGCTGTCTTGTTGTTTTGCCTGTAATCAGGGATGGGCAGTATTTCTGATAAATGTATTTAAAATACGTATTTGAAATACAAAATACTATTTTGTATTTTGTATTTAAATACCTTTGAAAAAAATGTAATGTATTTTGTATTTAAATACATTTAAGCTTAGTATTTTTGTATTTTCAAAATACATAAAATACTTTTTTGCCAGTCAACCTCTATATTACGTAGTTGATTTCCTGTGTCAACTAGTTCAGACATGCCACTGTCATGTGAGCTGCAGCTGTGCAAGTCCATCTAGATTTGGGTAAGGTGAATTTTCATGATTCCTGTAAGGAAATAAGGAATAATGCTGCCTTTGTGTGCAGAAATGTCCTACTTCCCACTTCTGAAGTTGTGATTACGAGCTTGTCGCATTGAAGTGCTTTGCTGTCAGAAAGAATCATGGAGGACTCTAGGTTTCTTGGGGAAATTTTATTAAAGTCAAAATATTTTGAAGACATTTAATTTTTAGTAAAATGTCCCATTCGTTGACAACCATATAAACATTCACTGCACTATTTACATGGTCAGCTTGACAATTCTGATTTTCTGTCAAATGCATGCTATTTTGCTGTGTATAAAAGATACAAAATGCTTGAAATAGTTATTGCAGTTATATATGCACTACATCAAAATGAGGTGATAACCCATACCTCTCACAGCAGCAACTGTTTTTCCCATGTTTAAAGCTTATGGTCTGCGCAACTCAAAAATGTTGGGTATCAAAATTATCTATTTCCTAGCAAGGGAAAAATAACATTATCACTAGCACTGGACATTAGAGTTAGCCAGTAAGACTTGATAGTTTTTTAGTTTTATTTTGGTTAAATTTTGGTTTTATCAACTAGCTAGTCAGTTGTATTTATTAAACTTTAAGCATTACTGCTTGCTATGGCTGGGTGATATGACAATATAGCCATATGTTGGTGATTATATATCATTAACACATCCCTTCACACTGGTGTTTTTCCCTCAGCATTTAGACAGGCTCATATGACCCCACTACTAATGAAACCCACCCTTGACCCATCTCTGAAGAGGTTTCCCTTCTTCCTTTCATTGCAAAAACACTTGAACGAGCTGTGTTCAACCAAGTCCCTGCCTTTCACACACAGAACAACCTCCTCGACATCAACCAGTCTGGTTTCAGAAGTGTACATTCAACAGAGACTGCCTTGCTCTCAGTTGTTGAAGCCCTAAGACTGGCAAGAGCGGATTCCAAATCTTCAATACTTATCTTGCTGGATCCGTCCGCTGCTTTTGACAAGGTTAACCACCAGGTCCTCCTGTCAACCTTATTGGCAAAGGGCATCTCAGGAACCACACTCCAGTGGTTTGAGTCTTAGCTCTCAGATTGGTCCTTCAAGGTATCTTGGAGAGGTGAGGTGTCGCAACAGCTAACTATTGGGGTGCCTCAGGGCTCTGTTCTTGGACCACTTCTCTTCTCTGTCTACATGGCATCACTAGGTTCTGTCATTCAGAAACATGGCTTTTCATATCACTGCTATGCTGATGACACTCAACTCTACCTCTCATTCCATCCTGATGATCCGACGATAGCTGCTCGCATCTCAGCATGTCTAACAGACATTTCTTGTTGGATGAAAGACCATCACCTTCAACTCAACCTGCTCTATTCTTTTCCTATTCTATCTTTTTATTTTATTTTATTTTTCGTTTTATTTTTATTTATTAGATGATTTAAAAAAAAAAAAAAAATCTTGCTACGTCTACTGCATTAAGCTAACTGAGACATGTTATAGCACTTGCATATCATTGCTCTTTTGTTGATTTTGATTGCTTCCATTGTCCTCATTTGTAAGTCGCTTTGGATAAAAGAAAATAATTTCTGCCCAAAAAAGTTTCAATCTTTTTTTTTCTTTTTTTTTTTTAAATACAGAAGTTAACAGTTTAGTCAGAATTTAATAGTGTGATGTGACACCAGTTTACAATGTAAAGATTATCTTTATTTGGCTTATGTAAAAGAGTGACAAGACCTTGTTTCAAAGCCCTCAAATGCCTGAACTAGCAAGCACAGCCTCACTATAAACATCAGAAAGAAATTAAATGTGAAATATGAAATAAATAAACAAGTTTATTCTCACCAATTTCATGTCCACTATTTTTCAAGTATCCCCTGTGTCTTAATTCTGCTGCAAACATTTCTTCTTTTCTCCTGTGCAGTGCTGCTGTTAATTCTAAGCAGAAGAAACAAATACTTAGAAACCCAGCATTCCGAAATACAGGAACTAAGAAAACAGGAACAAATGAATGAGAAAGTTCTTAACAAAAGTTTAGAGATAAACCAAATCAGACTGGTGGGGTTCTTCATGTTCTGTGTTCACAGTCCAGGTAGGTTATGTTACATATTTTGTTTTCAATATTTTGAATGTTTTATGTTATGAAATGTTCTATCTACACACACAAAGGGTTGGAACCGTCTCGGTGAACTGTCCTTATAGCATTTTTCACATCTTGATATGCGAAAAGGATGCAGGTGTTGACGATCTTGATAGAGAGGTTTGTTGTTGCGAGAGACCACAAAAATGATAATTCACATTTGTTGGCTAAATTCAAAGATATTTACTTTAGGTGTTTTTATGAGTTATTATGCCTGTTAAAACTGTGATGCAGTTACAAGGTGATCACAGATAGAATAAAAATAAATGTTGTCATCACTCGCGTGAATGTATGTGAGAAAACATTACTTTAACTATAACTATAACTACTTAACTATAAATGACTCGCAAAGATGGAGCAAAATGAGTAAAACGAATGCTTATGGTTCATATTATAAATGAAAACACATCAACAATAAATAATACTAGCCTATTACAAATTAACTTATATTAAACATCGAACTTTTATTAACAAAATGAACGAGTGAATAAAGGATTAACACGAATAGACTAAAAAAATGTTCTCCTTTAAACCGCTTACATTATTATTTTTAATGAAAACACATCAACAACAAAACAAAGACGAACTCACTTATGTTAAACGAAGAAATACAAACACAATGTTTATTAACAAAAGTTATTTTTTATTTAAAAACACCTTCAGGAGAACTACTATTCAAAAAATCATTCATATGTAAAACCAGATAATGTAATGAGAAAACATTGATAGATAGATAGATTCTGACTAGAACCAGAAAATCTGAGCATATCACACCAGTCCTCAGGTCCTTACACTGGCTTCCAGTTATATTTAGGATTGATTTTAAAGTACTTTTACTCATTTATAAATCATTCAATGGCCTAGGATCTAAATACATAGCAGATATGTTCACTGATTATAAACCTAACAGACCACTCAGATCACTAGGATCGAGTCAGTTAAAAATACCAAGGGTTCACACAAAACAAGGGAAGTCCGCTTTTAGTTATTATGCCGCCCGCAGTTGGAATCAGCTTCCAGAAGAGATCAGATGTGCTAAAACATTAGTCACATTTAAATGCAGACTCAAAACTCATCTGTTTAGCTGTGCATTTACTGAATGAGCACTGTGCAACGTCTAAACTGATTGCACTATATTTTATGTATAATCATTTTCTATTCTTAACTGTTTTAAATTCATTTTAAACCTCTTAAATCAATTTTTAAATCATTTTCAAAGTTTTAAATTCCTTGTTTTATTGTTGTGATTATTTTTTTTTATAATGTTTTCATTTCTTTTATGTAAAGCACTTTGAATTACCATTGTGTATGAAATGTGTTATATAAATAAACTTGCCTTGCCTTGGAAAACGCTATATATGCTTAAACGCTTAACGCTTAAAACGAGTTCAGATGCAAAAGCCTGTAAGTGACACCTGAAACTTCATAAAATGAGCGTTTTTATCAGGCTCCCATGTTTAGGTTCAGTAATTTAACTTAAATAGGTTCTTTTGATTGCAATTAATGTGAAATAACCATTACTTCACGTGGCTCCTGCGGCTCTGCGCTGCTTCTCTTCTATAGCTGAGACGCATCTCACATTATAACTGTAGCATCAACTGTCCAATTGAACTAAATTGATTTTATTTCTTAAAAAAATAACACTAAGTATCTACACTTATATTTCCTAATTTTCATCATATTGTGTTTGTAGTTGCATGTTGCCAAACTTAACATGTCCACCCTGTCATAGTAAAATATTCATTTACATAAAGGTTTTTCAGAAATTCAAAATATATATTTTAAGCAGTACACATTCAGCTTCAACAATGAACCACTTTGCTGACTGAAAGTACACCATGTGTTTATTAAATGCTAACTTTAACCAAAAACGTCCACCCTGTCACCAAGCCTTCCATGACAGGGTGGACAGGCTGAGTACAGTAGAGACACTTTCTGCTTTTTTCATCACCATACAAAAACTAGATGCTGAAATGAAGTGATTTTTCACATGATATTTCTTTTGCTTGTGTACTAAAATATCATAAATTGATAATAGCCATAAGTAGTTTATATTTTCCACAATTAGCTCATAAACATAAGGTGCATTTTTGTCTCAATTGTACCCATATGGTGTACAGTTGAAACAGTACCATGGTACAGTTGAGACACCCATTCTTAATGCTCTAAAGCTGGCTAACCATTTATTGCAAATGTAATAAATGACAAAATTACAGGTTTAAAAATTACAGTTTAAAAATAAATTCTTTTATTTGCTTTATTTAATTTAGAATCAGTTCAACAAAATAGGAACAAATATTTAACACTAGAAAAGATATGGCAAAGAGTACAAATGTAAACATAAAAATAACAATACACACCTGTATATTCTATAACCCTACCCCTAAACCTACACATCACTCGAAACTTTCTGCATTTACATTTTCAATCATTCTGTATGATTTATAAGCTTGATTTATCATGGGGACCTAAAAAATTCCCATAAGGTTAGAATTTACTGGTATTACTATACTTACCAGTACACAAACACACAGCCTCTGAATATGCATTTTATTTTCTATGATTGAACTGTTACTGTATACATACCTGCCTAAAGGGTGTATCAACTGTACCCACTTTACCACCTTGTATATTTCTTTAAAATGCTATGTAATCCTTTAAACATTCATGTTAGAAAATATGTCCATTAATAATAGACAGCTGAAATATCACAAATATCATTTTTTAACAGAATTTTGCGTAGCATATGTGTAAATGTGACTTTTATCCTATTATCATAACACTGTACAACTAAACAGCATGTGAAGCAATAGGACACCAATCCGGGTACAGTTGATACACTGTGTCTCAATTTAAGTTTAACAATCATAAAAGAATAATAAGCTATTGATTGTGGAAGGGACATGGTGAAATGAAAATCTCACCTTGGGAAAAAAACTTTTGCCGATATCTTTGGAGTGGAAAGACGCACACATTTCAAATTTCACACAATCAAAGAGAACACTAATACGCATGTGTGGAGCCAAAATCACGGCTCGGGGTTCTTGTATACAGAAGTTATTTAAGGTGTTTCAACTGTACACATGTCTCAAATGTACTCAGTCTACCCTACATGACAGGGGGGACATGTGCATAGTTTTTGCCAAATTCTGATAATGTTTTAACAAAGGCTATTGATTTAACATGTTAAATTGGTGTGATTAATTATGGGGGAAAAAAATGTTGAATTGATAAATGCATTTAATGCACCCCAGCCCAGAACTGTATGCTATCTTACATTGCATGCAGTTGCTTAGTGATGAACATGATGGAAGTCAACGACTCACTGTGATGTAGCCTATTAGAATGCAGTTAGACTGTGCCTAACATTCAAGATAAGTGGGCAAAAAATGCCCAAAGCAAAAGTGCCATTTTCCTGAATATCTGCTCGATTGCAAATGTGATATTGACTTTATACAACAGTTCAATAAACAAAAAATAAATAAATAATAATAGTTAAATTGTAAACACAATACTGTCAATATTGTCTGTTTTTGTTCTATTTCTCCAAAGAAAATACAGGGTTCGTAGTTCGTACAAGGTGCTTAAAGTGCTTGAAGTACTTGAATTTTACTTTTTCAAATTTAAGTCCTGTAAAACCCTTGAAAACTGACATTTATGAAAAGGTACTTAAAAAGTACTTGAATGTTTAAAAGGCAGTATATATGAAATTAGTATTACTTTTTGTTTTCGATAAAAATAATATTTTCTCGCAAAATTAACTATGCACCGCGTCTGATATAAATACAGAGCCGTTTCTCCTGGCTTTTAGCAGCGCACGAGATCTCGCAATATTACTCCTGGAGGTGAAAAGCAGTCTTGCGATATCAGTAAAAAGTTGATTTTGTGGTAAAACCATATACTGTATAAAAACCATAGACTGTATAAAAAGGGTAAAACCTTTGATAGTGCTTGCATTATATTGTATACGTATAAAGTCTGACGTGCTTTGTGTTGCACTGTTATCATTTATATATATACATACATATATATATATATATATATATTATATAATTTGATTTTGGAACAGCCCTATAGTGTCTTACTATTCTAATTTAAATTATTAAAATGTAAGAATTTGATAAAATACCATGCATACATCTAATAAGGTAATAAAAAATGGCCTTATAAATGTAAAAAATGCCCTTTTAAATTAATTTACAATTTTCAATTGAAGTGTAGAATATATATTTCTGAAATCATTCTTTATATTACTTAAGGGTTTCTTGTTGTTCCTGTTGTTTATCTGATGTCCTCTTCACCCATTAATGCATTTGTCCACCCTGTCATCTTCATCTTTTATGAAAATGTTAGCAAAACCTTTTGTGTGATTTCTTTATGAAGAAATGAGGGCCAGTTAGTATTCATTGAAAGTTTGACCAGATATCTTTGTCGTTTGATTTTATTTAGAAAAGAAAGTGCAACTTTCACGTATTTTATAGGGATACAAATATGTTGCAGTAATTTCAATTTTTCAAAAGACTTTTCCCACTAAGTAAAATGTATTGTTGAGAAAGGGACAAATTGTCTTTCTGAAAATCTACATTTTATCGTCATTATGTAATGAAATTTGAATTTGTCCATGACAGGGTGGACATATCTTGTGGTTTACTGGAAAATTGTCTGCTTGCAGTTATTTTATAAAAAGTGCAGGAGCTTGACCAATATGCATTTCTAACAGTCTACAGTCTCCTTAATACGACAAATATGAAGATTAATAGAAAATCTCATATTTTTATTTTGGAAATTGGGAAGTCTCAAAGGCACTTTATAGTGATATTGACCCATACAGTATATATATATATATATGTATATGTATATGTATATGTATATATATGTATATGTAAATAAATAAATATAAACATTGTAACATTATATTTCATATGTATAAGAACTGACCAAAACCTATTAACAATAAAGATGAGATAAAGATGAAATGTAACTATCACTGTCTTAACAAGTAGGCTAGTCCTGATAATTAAAATATACTGAGAAACAGAATAATTAAAAAAAAAACTAATAAAACTGAACTGAGTATTCTGAGACAAAAAAAGAGACAAACCTGATTACTGACGTCTCTCTCTCTCTCTCTCTTTATGTACCTGGGTTTTTGTCAGTCTGTCAAGCTTCTATCTGCTTTTCTTCTACACAGATCTGTTTTTCTTGAAATCATGTGACACAGCATCAATGGCCTCCTGCTTGAAGTGGTAGGCTAGTCCTGATAATTAAATTATACTGAGAAACAGAATAATTAAAAAAAAAACTAATAAAACTGAACTGAGTATTCTGAGACAAAAAAAGAGACAAACCTGATTACTGACGTCTCTCTCTCTCTCTCTCTTTATGTACCTGGGTTTTTGTCAGTCTGTCAAGCTTCTATCTGCTTTTCTTCTACACAGATCTGTTTTTCTTGAAATCATGTGACACAGCATCAATGGCCTCCTGCTTGAAGTGAAAGCAATAAGTGAAGGGGGATTTTCTTTTGCAGTCACGCACTTGGTTTGATTTAGGCTACTGATAGTTGCATAAAAATGCTGTAAACTTTAAATTCATAACAGGTTCTTCTGAAGAATTTATGATCTTGATGACTCTGGATTATTGTAGCCTAAATAAAGCAGTGGGTGAACACAGTATGTAAAGAGGGAATCATGTCCAGCTGTCCATATAAAGTGTTTCCACAAAACTTAAAATGTACAGCCATTCATATCTTTCTGAAAACTGTGAAATCCTAAAGATGTAAATAAAAAAATAAAAAATCTGAAAACGTGCCTTGTGTAAAATTGTCTCATTATTAAAAGCAACTCTGAAATACACAGCACAGACACAATAACAGCTCCTCTGTGTTAAACTCATGTTTGTGGAATTGTTTAATCTTCCTTTGATCAGATCATTTGAGATTTAGGGACTGTTTACACGACACCGTTTTCGTTTTTTCATACGTTTTGGACATTCATCTACATAATGTTATTTGGGGGCCTGTAAACACAATCTTTTGAAACGCTTCCTTCAGTTTTGAAATCAACATCTTTATCGTCTCTGTGTAAACTACAAAACATGAATCAGTGAAACAGTGGCTTCATCTGCGTATGTGTTTTGTGTTTAATCAATAGGCATGTAAACAATGCCAATGTCTTTTTATTTTTAGTTTATTTCATCTACTAATCCGTTTGATGTTTTATAGTGAAAGCTAATAATAAAATACAAGAGACTTTAAAAACAAAAACAAACAAGAAAAGAAACAAACAGGCTTATAATGACCAAACAAGCGATTTACTTAGAACGTGGGTGTGTACAGATGAAGCAAGGAGTGTGTGAAAACAGACAGTGGAAGAAATAACGAATCTAGAACTGATTTCCACAACTGGAAAGAATGATTTGATTTGAATGATGAATATACATATCTTTTAAATGCCTTCCTTTTTTTTCAAGTTTTTCAGGTACATTGTACAATTGTACAGATTTAACTTAAATTTAAGGTTAAAAAACTTTTTTTTTAAGTGATATACGTAAGAAAAATGGTTTTAAACAGTACCAAATTGGTATTCTTCAATAGCAAAACCCCCTTTGGTGCTAAATTATAATATATTTTTCTAAGGTTCCACATAAACCCATGCTTTGATTTATTTAATTTATTCATTTAAATGATGCGACATTGGTATCTGAATGAACCAGCACAATATAAAGTAAGAGTTAAACAGAATAATGAAATGTCTTGATACATTATTGTATAATTGACCAATAGTTCATTTATGTTTTCTGATGAAGGCCTTCACTATTTAAGGTGAGCTCGAAGACCAATTCCATTAAAAATTTGCTCTTCATGGCATTTTGAACTGATGCAGATTTTTAGTATTTTTGAAGTATTATAATGGAACATCTTAATCTCCTCTTGAAATAACTATACATATTAATTACACAACGACAATGTTACTATTGTGACAGTTTACTTAATTTGAGCCTTAATTGCAGATCACTTTTTAATATATCATATTCCCTATGACAATTGTTGATTGCTAACCACTAATGTACAGTGGGTACGGAAAGTATTCAGACCCCCTTAAATTTTTCACTCTTTGTTATATTGCAGCCATTTGCTAAAATCATTTAAGTTAATTTTTTTTCCTCATTAATGTACACACAGCACCCCATATTGACAGAAAAACATTTGAGCCTTAATTGCAGATCACTTTTTAATATATCATATTCCCTGTGACAATTGATGATTGCTAACCACTAATTGTCCTGTATGTCCTGTTCTTACCAAACCAAACAAAAACGTTTCACTTAAATAATACATGATTATTGTTCCACACGATTGTTGATAATAATAATAATAATTAACTAATTACTAGTTAATTCGATTACTAATCACTCTTTCTAAAAAGTATTGGATTACTAATTACTTTCTAAACCCCAATATCAGCCACAACCGGTTGAAAAATAAAAGAATAGACACAAAACTACACTTTTAATGATTTCAAATAAACAATGTACAATGGTATGAATTATTCTTCAGCTGCTCACAGTGTGTAATGGGAGAAAGTTACATTAAAAAGATACATTTGAACATGATGATAAGTCTGATATAGAATTCTTATGTAGTCTATACAGTATTTAATGCAATTGCATCAGAAGTCACTGTAATTAAGAGTAATCCCTTACTTTACTTTTTCAAGCAAAAAGTAATTCAATTACAGTAACTAATTACTTATGTAATTAATAACACCCAACACTGCTCCGGAACAAGAACACATGTGAAGTGCAGTCCAGGAATGAGGTGGAGCCAGCAGAAGTAAAGGTATAGAAGGCATTTTAACCAAGTGTGAACAATTGTACAATGCTAGTGTGCTTTCAGTCTGTGCTGTTATCACAAACCCACAATTAGCTGAACATTTCAACCTCTTTCGGTGGACAGCCAAAACAGATTGCTAAACGGTAAGGTCATTCTCATGAGTAGACTTGTTTTTTTTCTTAATCATATACTTTAGTTTTTGCACTGCCACTGTAAAATGTGTTATTTTTAATTGTGCAACTATAATTTCTGTATAACAGAATGGTGACCGACAATAGTAAAAATGAAAATGCCAAAATAACAACAAACTAAATATTTAAAAAATAAATACATGATAATATGTCTTACTCTTAATGTCAAGTTTTCAGTTGAACTGTAACTGTTTTCAGCCTTACATTGTCTTTATTGCAGATGAAGTTGGTTTGATTTATTTGTCAGTATTCGTCAAATAAATGGATGCTTCAGACATCTACATGTTGCAACAGAAATACATTTCAGGAATATACTTTATGCATGCTTAATTTAGCGTTTGTATGTATGTACCAGAATAAAGGTCAACATTATTTAAATAAAATGTTTCTGTTTTTAAGAGACACACCATAATAAATAAATAAATGCATTTATTATAGGCCTACAGATAATTTACACAGTAGTAGAGCCTATAGGCCTACTCGCTGTTACAGTCATGGCTGCATCATTATATTATAATTAGTACAATACCATTATCATACCAATTTTTAAAAATATGTATTTTTAACACAATGTTCTTCAACAGATTTGAGTGGACACAATCATTGTCATACAGCTCTGACAGCAATTGAACGACGCAAGACATTGCTAAACTGCTGCTAGCTGAAGCATCTAAAGCAGTTACTGAATGGAAATAATCAATAACGTTACCAAATTGTAACACAAATTTGGCTTACTCTGAATTTAAAACTTTCGTATTTCAAGTCGTTACTACATTATCACGAGAAAACTCCGGTGCGAAGGTAAGGTGGAAGCACAAATACAAGACAGTCGATACATAAACACTATTTCCTGTAAAACTGAATAAGGGGTTTGTTTTGTTTCGGTTGTTTGTTTTTAACTCTGTTAATAAATAACTATATATATATAGACACACACAAATTTTGATTTTGATGGCTCCAACACATGCCAAAAACACATACACACACACACGCGCAAACACACACATGTTGTGTTTCCATGTTTTATGGGGACATTCCATAGGCGTAATGGTTTTTATACTGTACAAACTGTATGTGCTATTGCCCTACACCAACCCTACCCCTAAACCTACCCCTTACTTTCTCAAAAAAACTCATTCTGTATGATTTATAAGCTTGTTTCCTCATGGGGACCTCAAAAATGTCCCCACAAGGTCAAAATTTACTAGTATTACTATCCTTGTGGGGACATTTGGTCCCCATAACGTGATAAATACCAGGTACACACACACACACACTATCTTAGTGAGAATATTACATAGACTCCCATTGATTTTATATTAGGTCAATGGTACTTTCTATCACCTAACACTAACCCTACCCATCACAGAAACGTGAAGAACACTAGATTTAAATAAAATCATCTTTTGGCCAATTTATAAGGCTTTAAAAAAGTGAGGTTAAATTTTCCCCTGTTTAATGTAACATCCAAGTAACCAACGGTAAATATATTTCTGGTGCTTTTCAGAGATGGAGAATACCACTCAAGATATCAATCTTCTGCTGATTGGTAAAACTGGTTCAGGAGTGAGCGCATCTGGAAACACTATACTGGGAAAAGATGCGTTTCAATCCAAAAAAAGCTCAAGCTCCATCACTAAGAGCTGCCAAAAAGACTCAGTCGAAGTGTCGATGAGAAGAATTACAGTAGTCGACACCCCAACTTTCTCAAATTCCCAAAACATTGATCTGAGTGTGGAGTTAAAGAATGAATTGAAGAAGTGCCCTCCAGGAATCCACGCGATCCTTCTGGTTCTCCCTTCACACAAAACACAAGCTGCTGATGTCCTGTCCTTATTCAAGCAGATGTTTGGTCAAAATGCCTTGAAACACACATTAGTCCTCTTCACACATGGAGACGAGACTCAAAATGAGTCACTTGATCGATTAATAAGACAAAACACAGAGCTGTCCAAACTAATAGAGGAGTGTGGACGGAGAGTTCACCTGCTGAACAACAAAGATCTGAACAACAGAGATCAGGTCACAGGCCTCCTGATGAAGATCGACCAGATGGTGTCTGAAAATCAGAACAGCTGCTACACTTTACAAATGTTTGAGACCCAATCTCTTGAAACCCAAACCCAACGACCCCCATTTAAAATACTTCTGCAGGGATTTATAAAGACTGAAATTCTGTATACAGTCTTTTTTATCATGTGCTTCTTTGCAACTTTGTGTTGTGTTGAAGTGCGGAATGGAGGTTCTGAACAGCTTTTGGACAGATTTAAATCAGCATTGATAGTTGGAGTAGTTGATTTTGGGTTGGCATGCATATGGATAACTCTGAGCTGGCTTATTGGGCGATGTACACACAAACATCAGAACAAACTGCTGGTTATCACATGTGGTGTTGTTGGAGGGATCATTGGAGGGTTCATTGAAAGGTTTCATGGTCAAGAAGGTATTTGGGCTATATTCTTGAGAGGGATACAGTCTTATGTCAGTCTTATGGTACGCCACATGGCCTCTCACACTTGAACCAGTTATCTGTGGGTCATTCTAAACCCCAGGTGAACATCTTGCTTCATGTTTCACACTGCTCATAATTAACACGGGGTTAACAATTAGTGTCACTGATTAGATGAACACAACACACAAAATATTTACATAAAGGCTCCAGCATTGTGCTTCCTTGCATTACACTGATGACAATATCAAGTCTTTATTGAATGGACTATAAAGATAAAAAATAAAACCATCTCTTCTTCACTCCTACCATGTTTTCTGTCACCATTTAATTATTTTCCTTCAAACACAAAAACAGTTGTTTGTGCAACACACTTTGTTTCCATTAATGTTCAAAGTGTGTGAATATGAGGCATGTGAACGGCTCTTGGTTGCTAAACCTCTCGCCCAGGGGTCCAAACTCGGCCCTGGAGGGCTGGCAGTGTTGGGCAAGCTACTCTGAAACTAAGCTACAAGCTACTCACAAGTTAAAGTAGTTAAGCTACATTAAAGCTACCCTTCTGAAAAAGTAGCTAGCTACACTACAAGTTACAACCAAAAAGTAGCTTACTACATCAAAGCTTTAGATTTTTCTTTTTAGACTTTTATAACTGAATAATTGAGGGACGTTTAAAGGATTTGGGGTTTAAAACAACATAATGTAATAAAATTATGATTTCAAAGAGTGTAGTTTTATTTTGTAATCTATCCAACGATACACACAATACTCAGATACAGCCTAGATCTCAAGTTTTTTTTTTGTGTGTGTGTGTGTTTGTCAAAGTGAAAAACTGCAATAAATTGCAAATCGAGTTAAATGATGCAATTATGTGTCCACACAAATATTGGAATGATAATTAAGTTACGTGAATGTGAAAATCAAATCAAAAATGCCTGTTAAATTCACAGCAGATGCAGTGATGGAGCTCACAGTGTTTACTCTGAAACAGTTATCATGAGCTGCTTGTGTGAATAAGGTGCGCTTCGCTCTGAAACTAAGCTAGGCTATATTAAATCACAGCCTTTGCCACGTGATAAAGGCCGCATCTTTCGTAGGACACGGACTTCGAAGGCCACATCTTCGAAGGATGCGAAGGTCAGACTGAGTCTTGTTAAATGGGACAGTCTAGCCTTCGGAGGATCGTTCTTGTTGCCTAGCAACTGTGACGGGGTGCGGTTGAACGGCAGTATGTTTGTACTGGACTTTTTAAAAAGTTATTTATTCAGCTGTCTGAAAACAAAACTGGGTTGACAAACTGTCTAAATATGTTCCCCATGCTCAATTTGGGATCTTCTTAGGATGTCAACATTTCAACTGCTTTAATTTATTTATTTATTTTACATTTATATCATTCGATAATCGAGTAGGCTAAAACCCAATACTTACATTTAAAAGTGTAATACAGCAAATTCAATCAAAATGATCCTGTCGTCGCAGTGCGCAATGAATTCTGGGATAGGGAAGACCTCAGAGGATGCATGGTTTGTATCCTTCTTTTCACTGGAAATGAAGGCTGCATTTGAGGAGTCTTCGAATTGGGACAGCCTTTTGTCGCGCTGCTGTGACGCAATCAGCCTTCGAAGGCGACCTCCGAAGACTGTAGCCTTCGAATTGGGACGCAGCTAATATCTCGATTTTGTTTTCTGTTTGATTGAAAGATGTAAAAGCAATGGCCCAAAACACAATGTGACCTTTTTGATACATTACGAAACTGTGGCAGGACAGACTGGAAACACTGATTCATCACTGCAATTAAAACAGAAACAGACATTTGATATAGAGTGGAGTGAAACAGGATAGTTAATCAGTTTAAAATTAATATTACTCACCTGTGTCATTAAACTAGTAAGACGGCTGTATCGAACTTGAAATGTCCTTTGCGTAATTAATTATAAAAATAGATGGTGTTAATACACAATTTTAGTTTGTAATCTAGTAAGATGCTGTGCTGTTTCTGTGCACTGCAGATTCGTCATAATGCAAAACAGAATGTAGATTTTGGTCAAGTTACACCACTACTTGCTGGAAAAGTAGCTAGCTACTGAAAAATGTAGTTAAGGTAGTAGCTTCACTATTTGTAGCTAGCTACTGCCCAACACTGAGGGCCGGTGTCCTGCAGAGTTTAGCTCCAACTTGCCTCAACACACCTGACTTGAAGTTTCTAGTATGCCTGGTAAGAGCTTGGTTAGCTGGTTCAGGTGTGTTTAATTGGGGTTGGCGCTAAACTCTGCAGGACACTGGCCCTCCAGGACCGAGTTTAATTCTAGCTGTAAAACAGTCTTTAGAAAATGATAAACCGAGTTTGAGCACAGTCTGAAAAGCCCTTTTTATTCTGATCTGGCACATGGATGTGTGTCAAAAAATATATTTTTAAAAAGCATCACAGTTTATAAGCAAATAATAATACGTAAATAATAGGGATGCACCGATACCGATACTGGTATCGGTATCGGGCCCGATACTGGCCTCCTGTACTCGTACTCGTACTCGTTAAAATGCCCCGATACCAAACGCCGATACCACACAGCATGTGATAAGCGCCATATTTAAACAAAGAAACACTGACTTTTTAAAAAAGCATCACAGTTTATAAGCAAATAATAATACGTAAATAATTATAAACATAATACAGAGTTTTCGTGTGTTTTTTTTAAAGGGGTCATATGATGCTTTTTTAAAGATCATTATTTTGTGAATTTGGTGTAACAGAATATGTTGACATGCTTTAATGTTCAAAAGAAGGTCACCAGATATATGGCTGAAAAGGAAAAAAGTTATGTCAGAAACTAATGATGAACACAAGAAGTGCAGAGAAGAATTGCTCACGGTGGACTGTCTGTCTGACAAAATGATATAATAATTTAGTCCTACTTTAAGAAGGCCTAAACCTGATATGGCTTTATTTGAAGTCACTTTTATTAAAGGTAATCTAAATGTGGCCTAATTTCCGTGAATGAATTCTTATAAAATAATTTCTCATATTTAATTTATATGTTACATTTTAAATTCACTGCTTAAATCATATAACTAAGCCCATACTGCAAAACTGAAAAAACTTGCATTACAAATATTTCTGGAAGTAAAAAGAAACCTATGTGTCATAGGTTGTGTGTTTTCTTTTCTTTTGGTGATAAGTTTCAAATTGTGTGGAGTATTTCATTAAGTATTCTTTTTGCTGCGTATTTCAGTTTGCTGTTCAGTTAGGGTTTGCAACAAATTACATTTAATGGAAAAACATCTTGACACTTGTTTACGCATGTGGTTTTTTTTCTTTCTTTTTTGCAGCTCTTGTGGTTTTCACCTAACCTTCTGGAACAAAAGCACCGGAAGCATGCACAGAGCATTGCATAGGGGTGCAGACGCAGCAGAATGAGTCACAAACAGAATGTGTATGCTACACTTTATCCATTTCTACCTACTAAAGACTTCTTGTTTGCATACAGGATGGAGCAGGCTAATTATCAATTAATGTAAAAAATACAAAACTGATGAGATACTCTAAAGCTGAAGCCAGTTTACAGTTTTGTGTGTTGTGTTATTGAGGCAACAGAACACAAAGACAATATGCAAGTGTGATACCCGAGCAGTCACAAGAAGGATCAATAGCGAAGTTGGGGTCCAAAGGGTTATTTATTTAGAGCAGATGTGCAAAATGTGCCAATTAGGTTTAAGAGCTTAAAACAAAGATTGTAATAAAAACTGTCTAAAACTAGAACGGCAAGTACTAAAAACAGTACCAACTCCCCTCTATATGATTGAGGCTGGAGTTTCACATGCTAAACAGCACTACCGGGAGACGATTCCAAAGTCTCTCCATCACAGCAAGTAAATAAATAAATACTGACAGAATCAGGGTTGGAGGTTAAAAAGACTGAACACTGTCAGTAATTCTGATGAAGTTAATTCTGATTTTTTTTTAAGTGTTAGTACACATATCTCGGTTTGCCAAACTCAAAGTTTACACGCACTGTGTGCCATTATACCAGCGGCTGCGTTACGCCTATAAACCGAAAGTAAAGTAACACGAGCGTGTATTGAAAGAAAAAAAATTCACCTGCGTCCTCCCGTGGACACTTCAAGGAACAAGAAATTGCAACAAAAATTGCTCAGTGACCAACTGGATTTCAAAATGTAGAAAAGCAAAACAGACGTATTTAGGTGCTAGACGTTCCATATTGGTTATTCTACGGTCACATAACAACGTGACAAAGAGGATATTTGTAACAGAACGATCCCACATGGTCCTTTGATGGTCATTTAATAATAGGGTTGCCACCTTCTTTTATACAGAAAAATAAGGGACCCCTGCCGCAGCAGGGGCCACACCTAGGGTTGCCAACTTCAGAAAAGGAAAATAAGGGACAATCGTGGTTTTTCATAGAAAAATAAGGGACATAATGAGGGATACACACACAGGCCTATTATATATATATATATACACACACACACACACACGCACACACACACAGGTATATCTTTTAGATTTGTGATGTTTTTTTAAATGGAGTCTCTTATGCTCATCAATGCTGTATTTATTTGATCAAAAATACAGAAAAAACAGTAATGTTAAATATTATTGCAATGAGTTTTCGTTTAAGATAAAAGTATTCTAAAAGTTTCTTTTAAAAAAAAGAACAAAAGAAGAAGAAAGAAAAGAAATTGACTGACCCCAAACTTTTTTTTTTTTTGTGGAATAGTTGTGTATATTTAACACAATTTTTATTTTGAATAAATACTGTTCTTTTTAACCTTTTATTTATC